TCCTCCATTGCCGGCCCTCTTCCTTGTTGACAGTCTTGTCAAACTGGTTATGAGCAGAACATAAACTAATTAGACTTCTAGACTCTGACACTTGAACACATCATACTGGTGAAGAGTTAAAGTAAAGAAAAATTCTGGCCCCAAAAGTGAAACTAATCCGAGGCCAGCCAGATTAAATGCCAAATAATTTTTATAATAATAATGGATTTTTATGGCTTGTTCCAGTTTTCAGTCAGGACATTGATTTGTTAATTTACAATGAGTTTTTTTTCGTGTGTGTTTAACAAAGTTGTTAAACTTGAGCAGTTATTCATAAAACAGATAAATGAGTTCTAGAGTTAAACATGTGCATCCAGTGCTTGTTCACTGAAAGTTTCCATTCAACTCCAGACAAAAAGGGTTGACCCTAAAGATCTTGCAGTAAGTTTTGTGAATGACTCTCAGCTACAACCACACCAAACTTTAGCACAATGTTTTTAAAACTGACTGGATTTAGAGCCATTAGAGTCTGCTTTAAGTTTAATTAGCTGTACTATAAATATCATTATTCAAGTTGGCTTCAAAGGTTGACCAGCTGTAGACCGTTTCATTAAAATACATACAGTGGTTGAGATTTTTTGCTAACAGTTAACTTCAAATACAGTAGTTAATGGTAGAATTATAAACAAATCTTGTGCAATCTGTTAGCACTCAGAATATGATCAGTCTCTACAACCAGACCTAATTTTATGTCAATATCTCTAAAATTGAGTAAGTTAAAACTTTTTTTACACCAAGAGGCTAATACTGGCTAGTTTATTGGCCTACCTGTCTGTTCCAAACTGTCAAACAGCTTTATTTGATGTGATGTTAAGAACTTATTAAATTCATCTTGCATTGTTTTGTCAAATAGTCCAGAACTTGAAGGTTTCAACATACACATCCACTTTTCAAAAGTGAACAGCTGTTTCCTCCTAAATAAAAGTTCAAATATACCTAATGTAGACTAAAAAGCAGGTTTATTGACCCTTGTTTCTCCTCCCAGGTCTCACCACTACTGGCTGAAAAGGAGTCATCATGTATTCCTGGATTTGAGTCAGATTCGTTGATATTTAAAGTGAGCAGAAAGCACCTGAGGCAAGGCACAAGACTGGGCAGAGGTATGAGCAAGCTCTGAAACTGTTCTCACCCCCTCTGCAGCACGCGCATTCTTGAAAGGCTTTGTGATGTTCATGTGCTAAATGTTGCTTTTTATATGGAAAGGTTTGGTCATTTACACCCAAAGTGCTGCTTTTGTTTCAGGCAGGCTAACAGTGAAATCAGCCTGGGACTAGTTCAGGTCTCGGCTTGCACTCGGCTCCACACCCCTCCCATCCTCTCAACTTCGGGCCCAAACAATGTTCCCAAGCCTGTTCTGCAGGCTCGGCTTTTAAAATGGTGGAAGACGCTCAAAACAGAAGCAGCAGTTGGATCAGGGTCATAGCTGAAGCGCTTTAATGGTTTCTTTATTTTTCAAACATTTAGTTGGTCTTTGTTGGTTTTCTTTTTTTTTTCTACAGTATTAGAATAGTTTTGATCTTAGTTGTGATCTTGAGGACATTGAATGACAAACTAGCATTTCATGTGACAGTACTGAGTGCATCCTGCTTGTTTATTAGTCTTATTTTGTATAAATAAACATTTGTTTAAACAGTGTCCTGATGCATGCTCAATAATCATAGAAAAAATTCACAAGGTTAAGTCAGGTCCTGTAAGGATTCTTCTTTGTTGAAACATTTCGTCTTTTATCCAAAAGACCTTCAGTCTGAGACCCTGCAACAAACTCGAGCTATATTTACATGGACACAAGTAATCGGATTAAACGGCCATTCGGAATAAAAATGTCATGTAAACGCCACATTCAGATTATTCTTTGTTGATTCAGCTTGATCAGAAAAATTTGTAATCAGAATGAGACGGGTGGTTTATACATAATCTGAACAGTGTGCATGTAAACACTTAATCTGTTTATTTTTTTCCAGTCATGAAAAACTGACCTGACTGTGCATGTGCGACCTATGTCTACCTCACATATTTCCGCCTGGCTAATGCTAATAATATTAGCATGTTGGGAAGCAAACCGGTCAGTGAGCGACACATTTCTACTAGAAACTTTGAAAGCGCTCAGAATAATCTGTATTACCTGTAGCTCAGACGGGGAGTGCAGTAACGTCTCCACAGTCATTAAAACCTGGCGCGGGTCCATTTTGGGTGCTCAGGTTTGTTTGTGTTAACTTTGAAACTTAACAGAGTGTTAACAGTACACAAGACATTTAGTACAGGCGGTCGTCCCACAGAACAGCAACCAACAAGTTTTCTGTGTTGGTGTATGTATATTCTGATCTATGTTTGGGTTTGCTTTATTCAGATGTATAATCATGGTAAAAAGAGACGATGCACACCATTAATGAATCTGTCAACATCATAGGAGCACGCTTTGAAATCCTGTGCAGATTTACTTTTTAAACACTATTATTTTGTTCAACCATTTATTTCTACAGGTTAGTCTCATTGAGCCTCGAGGATTCATTTACAAGAGAGACCTGATTTAAACAAAGAACACAGATGACAACAGTAAAATTAATTTAAAAAGCATATAAATTATAAAATAAATAGAAGAGTACGATACTAAGAAACGAAACAAACTGCTACATTATAAAGTGATATATCCATCCATCCATTATCTTTACCCGCTTCTTCCTTTTTGGGCCGCAGGAGTCATCGGTGCCCATGTCCAGCAATCACTGTGCGAGAGGCAGGGTACACTCTGGACAGGTCTCAGTCCATCACAGGGACACATGGAGACAAACGACCATTCACTCTCACCTAGGGACAGTTTAGAGTTGCCAATCAGACTAACATCCATGTTCTTGGGTCTGTGGGAGGAAACCGGAATACCTGGAGAAAACCCACAAATGCACGGAGAGAACATGCAAACTCCACCCAGAAAAGCCCCCGGTCTGAGATTTGAACAGGGTAACCTGCTCGCTGGGAGGCAGCAGCTCTACCAGTTGCACCACCATGCTGCACTAAATAGAAAAACATGTCTGCGTTGGTTTTTGCCATGAATTTATCAGGTGTTTGAAGCCACTTGGAGAGTTCAAGGTAGAGAGCTTCAGAATTTTATGCAAGATATTCCTGGAAATGGAAGCGGAGTAAGAGGAGGCCCTTTTGTCTAGTTCAGTCCGCACTGATGGAACACTGCATGTACCGTATTTCTTGGGCTACAGAACGCACCTGTCTCCAAGTAGCAGGCACAAAATGTAAGAGAAATCATTATTTTGTACATAAATAAGACGCTCTGGTTATTTAGCCGCGGGCATCCACCGTTCATCAAGCGGCTGTGGCTGAGTGGTTAGAGCAGTCTTCCTCCAATGCAAGAGTTGGGGGTTCGAATCCACCAGCAGTCACATGCCCAAGTGTCCCTGGGCAAGACACTGAACCCCTCATTGCCTCCTATGTGTGTCCAATCAGTGTATGAATGTGATAAAAGCTCTGATTAGTCTCTTTAGAATGACTTGTTCAATTAGCTTTGTGTAGATCTAGTAGAGTGCTGTATGAATGGGTAAATGAGGCACAGATTGTAAAGTGCTTTGAGTATCTGGATTAGATAGAAAGGTGCTATACAAGTACAGTCCGTTCCATTCATCATCAGGATCTGTGCCCCCAGCCTGCTACAACAATCTGCAGCTTTCTTGTAGTATAAGAATCAACCAGCAGATGGCGATACACACGCTGAGACTGTGTGATTGTCACAAGTCTTCATGAAGCTTCGCTCTCTGACTCATGGTTACAACCATTATACTTTCAAAATGAACATTAACTATATTTAAAGCATAATCACTGGACAGAACGGTGTCAATGTCAAACACCTACGTAACTGAAATTATTAAAAAGTTATGTGTATATACCGTACACAGAAAGATGTAAAAAAAAAAACCTTATTTAAATATGTATCAGTCTTGACTGACTGCTTTAAAAATAAATCTGACAAATTCTCCACCTCTCGCTGCTGTCTCATGATGTAAGGGGAAAGACTCCTTCCTTTTTCTCCGCTTTTGTTCATTTTTGAGTTTAAAATGAGGTCCCAGTATTTTAAACACATATTTACTGTACACAGAAAGACGTTGCACAAAATTAATTAAAAAACTTTTTAGGGATACACGATATTATTGGCATGTTATCGGTATCTGCCGATATTGGCGTTAAAATTCAATATCGGACATCGACCATTCCATTAAAACATTTTTTTTTTTTGGTGAGGATGTTGGATTACGAAGATTTATGGACTACGTTGAGCCTCGCTACATCATCCCAGAGATATTTTTCCGACGTAACATTACCCGAGTTACAAGCAGTCATTTCCGACGTCATTGAGAAGCTAATAGCCGATAGCACGACTTGTTGGGTGAGTTTTACCACAGACATTTGGACGTCATGTTAGTCCGTTAGCATGATTAGTCTTACGGCACAATGGATAGACAAAAACTTTGAAGTTTGAACTTAAAAAGGGTGTCCTTCATGCACAGGAGTGCAGAGGATCCCACACTGCAGCTAGGAACCTGGAACAAGCCTCCACAATGAGACGGCATTGCAGGTGACTAATGCTAATAAATAACATTTAACACTTTTCATTTAATACAAGTTAAAGTGCTATGCATATGGCTGTTACCGAATATATGTCACCAGCTCTTACAGCTGTTACACAATTTTTGTAGCAAATAAGCTCAAATAAGAGGGCTATGTTATGACAACGGAACATGTATACAATATCAGTATTGGCATCAGTTATTGGCCAAATAAGTTCTATTTCGTATAGGCTTCGCTCTTTAAGACTGTCACTAGTGGGTTTATCCCGTCGCGCTCAGCGCTGCACTGAAAACTTTGTAGTCCACGCCCACCTGCTGTGTGTGGGCCTCACTCCCGGTCCATATAAATTACGGTGAGACCGGGTAATCGGCTCCCATTTTTTCTTCAGCCAGCTAGTTAGCACTGTCAGAAGAACGAAGAAGGAAAAGTTGTCCAACTTTGACCGGCACAACCTTTGCTAAGGATGGCTGGGTCTCCTCCATGCCAACCTCCGACTGTCCCGGTGAGCTCTTCCTGCCCGAGGAGAAGCAGACGAGCAGCCTTGTTCAAGGTAAGCGCCGAGGAGTGCTTTCCATGGTAGGCTGCTACCCGCTGGACGACGCTATCGCATTTTCTAACGTGTGTTTTCCTCGCGGTAATTAAATGATTTCCTCGAAAAAGGCGATATTAGCAGCTGCCCCGCTGAATGTTTTTCTGTGGAGGGCCGCTACTCGAGGCAGCACGGTGGCGCAACTGGTAGAGCTGCTGCCTCTCAGTGAGCAGGTCCTTGGTTCAAACCCCGGTCCAGGGGCCTTTCTGGGTGGAGTTTGCATGTTCTCTCAGTGCATGCGTGGGTTTTCTCCGGGTGCTCTGGTTTCCTCCCACAGTCCAAAAACATGCATGTTAGGCTGATTGGTAACTCTAAATTGTCCCTAGGTGTGAGTGAGAGAGTGAATGGTTGTTTGTCTCTGTGTCCCTGTGATGGACTTGCGACCCGTCCAGGTTGTACCCCGCCCCTCGCACAGCGATTGCTGGACATGGGCACCAGCTACCCCCGTGACCCAAAATGGAATAAGTGGGTAAAGATAATGGATGGATGGATGGGCCGCTACTCGCTGGATGACGCCACCGCCTGTTCTAACATGTTTTTTTTTCTTTTTCTCGAGTTAAATCGGATGATTCCCTCGAAAAAGGCGTTGTTGGCAGCAGCTCTGCTGAGTGTTTTTTTTCTGTGGTGGGACGCTATGCGCGGGACGACGCCACCGCCTTCTTGATGCAGAGTCATGCAATGAATCGAATGATTCCTCAGAGAAAGGCGATGCGGAGCTGCCCCCTCCCTCCTGGGGAGCGTAGTGATGGAAGACGAGTGGCCGAGCAGATGCTCAGCCACCTCGGATCTTCCCACGTCAGCGATCACACCGCTCCCAGCCATCGGCGCCCTGTTTTTTCAGCAGACAGAGTCCGGTAAAATCCCTCGTTTTTCAGCCAGAGCCCATTTTTAATTTCTGTTGTTTTCTGCCCACTCACAGTGCAGCGGGAGTAAACGTGTTTC